ATGTCAGATTGGAATAACATCGGACCTTCAGTATAAATTCTAACATATAATATCCCATGTTAAGCAGTAAATTAGTACTATATCTTTAAACAAAAATAAGGGCCAGACCTAGGAGGGAATATTTGAATTACTCCAGCCAGCGTGACTCCCACAAAGCCACAGATGTTGTTCCACAGCAGGATCAGCTATTTCAGTGAAAATGTAGCCACCTGCTGTGGGACAAAAGAAACAAACATCGGCCCCTCAAACAGCAGAGCTGCAGAACAGCTCGAAGAGAGACAAGGTTAGGCATGTAAGTCATTCTCATTTTTACTACGGCAAGAATCAAAAAATAGTAGGAGTTAAAGCTTACGGCTACTCTTAAAAAGCTGACTACAAAAGCCAGTATCTGTAGGGTATTTTCTGCCCTCTTCTACAGAAAATATTTATACATGAAATAGGCATATTATAACTGAAATATTTTGAGGCTACTGATAATACAGAACACCTTCTGCAAAGGGAGAAGGTATGCTGGCAACACTCCATAGAAATGGATAAATATAGCTCAGCAGAATTCTCACATGGTTTCAGTTGTAGAACGTGTTCTTCACTCACTTCACTCTTACCATTAGCTCCTTCTCCAGTATATGGTAACTTCTTGTTAATCAGAAGGAAAGAACGTATACTTATGTATTTCATAAGTATATAGAGTGATATGTTATGTTATACATTAAATTATACATTTATATACGCATTAAAGGATACATTTTCATTCTTAAGGGAGTAGTAAAGTACAGTTTTGATGAATGACTATTGCAGATATTTAGATTACTCCCAATAGTTTAGGAGGTTAAATTGAGAGCTGCAAAAATCAGAATGCAAGGAGAGTTAAAAAAGAGTGTCTGCCCCCCACTACACCTTCAAAATACCTAGCAATTTTACATTTTAGGTAGTGATACAAGAAGAGGAGTGGGCTCATAAATGAGATTTGAAATTCATTATCATACTTTGATTTATTTCTGTAATAATACTAGCTACAAGCAGGCCCAAGGTTTGGAAAGACTCAGACATCCTCTCTTTCTCCTGGATGAACTCTAGAAAGCTGATCTCAGCCACCAACACATCGGTAGTCTGCACAGCTCTGCCAAAATTTACAGCTGCCTATCAGTCAAAGAACAACGCGCCATCTTCACCTCTCTCCCTCTGTTACTCCGGTGAAAAGCAGTGTTCTCAGCATCAGGAGCTCATTTCCCACGCACTCACAGGAGACACAGGACCTGAAGAAAAGCTATCTTGGTCATTCACATATGCCTATGGCAGTGTTTTAGGCAGCAGCAGATACTATCACCATTTGGAAACATCTGACGCCTGTGAGTAAGTGAAAAAGGGAACACTTGGATGAGGAGGCATTTTATACTTCTGTTTATCTGGAATTCTGCAGAACTTTCATGCATCAGCGTTTACAGTCACTGTATTTACTGAAGACAGCACTAACAGCTAACTGCAGTTCAAAACCGGCATTAGCTGTTCCAAAAAGATCAGTGTACTGTTTGCATGACCTAATACAACTAGAAGGAGATACATCATTCATTCATCTTTTCTAAGATCTTCTGCAACTCTTCAGTAGTTCAACTGAATGTCCATATGTACTCACTTCTAAAAAAGCACGCCACTTGTTTTCCCTAGCTATGTCAAAAGAATTAATTTTCCTACTACTTATGGCAAATTACATCAATATTATTTTAGTATCCATCTTTATCTAAGTAACTAAATAGACAGCAGGTTGGAGAACATGACAGCTTTGACTGCTGCGGTTCCAGATTTCTTATTATGTTGCATATAGTAATACTTTCCTGTAAAAATTATTACTACAAAAGCATCTTAGGAAAATTAAAGATTTTTTTTATTTTAGTGAATGTCCTTTTAGTTGGGAAGCAGATAGAGGGACTCATTTTCTTTTATATAGAAGAAAACCACGAAAAGCAAGCTAACAATCTCTGAAACTTCTGCATTCTCCTCTAGGTTTAACTAGTTATGAGCATTATATAATGATAATTATAAATATTAGTAAGTTTATGGCTGATGTTTTTAACAAGTAAATAGTTAATACTTTTATATTCACTTTAGTGGTGGGACGCTCCTTGTTCCAAAAAACGTTCATTACTTATTAGCAGACAAAGAAAAGAAATCAACACTGAATTAAGCACCCTTACAAAGATATATAACTGAAATATTTTGATCTTTTAGAGAAGATTTCCTAAGAACTCTGAGGAAAAAAAGTAGTTAAGACAAAGGCTATGTAGCAATATAGTGGCATGCATTCTCCTGCATGTATGTCCTCTGAGAACAATCACAGTGAAACGAGTGTCATGAATAAAAGACTACTCTTGCTGAAGGTTCTACAGCTTAGCCATTCATAAACTAGAATTTTAGATTAAAATTTGGTTTCACTCACAAGACAAAAAAAAAAAAAAGCTTAGTGTTTTCAGCCTGTAATCTTTGCAAATATTCTGCTGGTCTCTGCCACAGAAACACCAGTAAAATTTGGGGCTCATAAAAAAAAAATACAGTGAGGTATGAGGCAGACTAGCACAACTAAGCACATCTCAGACATTGCATCATGGCTATGTGAAATGGACTTGGATCCGGATCGCTCTCTAAATTAACCTGAAATACTCTGAAGACATTGATTTCAAGTTAACTAAATGAGGTTTCTGAAAAACTGGTTTGCCAATATGACATTTTGCTGGATCTATCCAGAATCGGTGATGTACAAGAACCTGAAATTTCATTAGCAATTTATGTTCTGTCAAAACCAATATTTAGTGGATAAGTATGCAGGGAGGGAACAACATTAACCTGTATCAGTTACAAATTCCACACCTCAGATCTTTTCCGCTTACTAGTGCCTCCCCCTCAGCTGTAAAACGGGGCTTCAGCTCTCCAAAGCCGAGAGCACACGCATTTGTAGCAACGGGGCTTACAGTGGTTATTCATCCTTGACATCTGTCACATGATTTTCAAAAATTCTGAAAGCATATTACGCATCACGTGATTGAAGGCGTCTTTATAAATGAATTAATGTGTCACAATGCTCTGCATCAAGAAAGAGAGAGCCAAATCAATACACTCCTAGAAAGTAGGGAAGGAAGCTTACAGCTACCAAAGAACGAACACACAAATCAAACTAAATCCTCTTTATGTTTTCTGCAGACAATGTTTCTTAATGTTTAAAATGCCCAGCCTATCACACGCAAAATAATCAAGAGATAACAGAACCTATTTTCTCTTCAGCTGTTCGTTGTGGATGCTATCTTGCCTCCTACTGAATCAATGTCAAACTCCTCTTTATTTCCATGATGGAAGGCTCAGGTCCATCATCACCAAGTCCGGCAGCATCCTAACGATTCCTTAAAATGTTATATAATCAAGAGTCGGAACGTTTACATTAATGTCTATAAAGAGCACGTAAAGGTTATTTTTTCTAAATTAACAAGATTTGGCAATACTTCAAAGCCTCCCAATAGCATCTTCTATCACTAAAAGTACAGCAGGTTGAAGAACAATGAAAAAGAGTGCACAAGGATAAACGGGGTTTCATCTTCGGGATTCCTCCCTCTCAGTAGCCCGTGCCACACACCAACAGTCACCGTTACACTTACTTTAAAATAACTTTTCTTTGAACTAACTATTTTAACAACTTTTAAGATACAAAGTCCGCGGTCACAACAAGCCCACCGCCCTCCCTCGTTGCCCCCCGTATGTCCATCGCCCTGCTCCGGCGTCCGGGACCACGTTGGAGGAAAATCCATCCCTGAACGGGGAGCCCGAACCCCCGGATGGGTGCGGGGACCGCGGCGCGATCCGCCTTTCCCAGCCGCCGCCCCCCGGGGACACCGGCGGCACCCTTCGGCGCGCCCCCCGCCCTGCGCTCCGGCGGCACCGAGGCATCGGCGGAGCAGAGCGGGCATCACCCGCGGCCCCTCCGTCAGACCCGACCGCCGGGCTGGTGTCGCCCCCCGCCGCGGCAACCGCGGCCACCACCGGGCGGCGGCACCGAAGTTCCCGCCGCGCCGCCGGTCCCGCCCGGGGAGCGGGACGGGGCACGGCCGGGACCGTCGCGCCGAAGGGTAGGGCGAGAAGACGATGGAGGGGGGGATCGCGCCCGCACACGACCCCCGCCCGCCGCGGCCCACCGCCGCCCGCCATAGGCATCCCGCCCGCCGCTCCGCCCGTGCCGGTACCGCTGCCCCTTCAGCACGAGGCGTAACGGGAGGCGCAGGGAGAGGCGGG